TTCGCATAGAAAGCCAATCCTCTTCGAGTATTTAAACACGAGCCAATGGCATGCAATGCCTTGGGGCTGCGGAAATTTGCATAGCGTACTCCGCCCTACTCCGTGAGTATAAAAGGAGGAAGTGAACGCAACCGCAGTATGTCTTCGCTGAGGAGCCAAGACTGAACTCTGCGTCTACCCAGCGATACAGCAGAAGTGGCAGGGAGACGTAACGTCTCCGTTCCCTACTCAGGGAACGAGGGTTATACGTAACCGAGACGTTCCCTTTCGTAGTCACTTCGAGTTACGTCAGAAGTGACGGAGATTGGGGGTCTGTGCCATCACGCCAACTTCAAGCTGTCTTCCAGTGCCCTGCGAAAATCTGAACCCCCTTTTCTTCTTTTTTTTTTTTTTTTTTTTTTGGGGGGATCCCACTTTGACACAGGATTACCAAGGTACACTGGGAAACATATCCCGGGAGGGACATGCTACCAGATGCCTACCGAAGGGAGGACTTAAGAATACTCATATGGCCCTATAGGAACACATATGGAACACTGGAGCACCAACTGTTGGTGGCTATTACAATTTAAACTCCAGGGTTGGCAGATGGCTTGCCAAGGGAAGACACATGCTCAGAGAGGCTTACAGTGGATAAAACACATGAGACGGTTACCAAGGGGAACCGTACGCATGGAGGCACCTAGCCAGCATCCAGAGCCACAGCAGTGGAGCCCGCATCGTCAGTGCTGGAGGACTCAAGCCTTCAATGGAAGAACTGAGGAAAAATCGCACTTATCCAGTCCGGGGAGTGGAGTGGCGAGCAAGCGAAGACACCTGAGAGGGTCCAGTACCGGCCGGAACGAGTACGTGTGAGGACACTGGCTCAATTTGCAGATTATAGAATCTGGCGAAGGTGTTGGGTGTCGCCCAGCCTGCAGCTCTGCAGATGTCTGTTAGCGAGGCGCCGTGCGCTAGAGCCCAAGAGGAGGCCACACTCCGAGTGGAATGGGCCGTCACACCAAGGGGGCAAGGACGGCCTTGCTGCTGGTAAGACAAAGCAATGGCATCCACTATCCAGTGGGACAGCCGTTGCTTTGAGAGAGCCCTTCCCTTCTGGCTCCCTCCAAGACAGACAAAGAGCTGGTCTGAGGTCCTGAAACACTGCGTTCTGTCGACATAGGTGCGGAGAGCACGTACCGGACAGAGCAGTGCCAAGGCTGGGTCTGCCTCCTCCGGGGGCAGCGCTTGCAGGTTCACCACCTGGTCCCGGAAGGGAGTGGTGGGAACCTTGGGCACATATCCAGGCCGGGGTCTCAGAATCACGTGAGAGTAAGCCGGCCCGAACTCCAGGCACGCTTCGTCAACGGAGAATGCGTGCAGGTCCCCCACCCTCTTGATGGAGGCCAGTGCAACCAGGAGTGCCGTCTTCATGGACAGAAACTTTAACTCTACCGATTGCAAAGGCTCAAAGGGATGCCTCTGCAGAGCACTTAAAACTACTGAGAGGTCCCAAGAGGGTACGAGGGGAGGACGAGGCGGATGTAGCCTCCTCGCTCCCCTCAGGAACCTGATGACCAGGTCGTGCTTCCCTACGGACTTACCCTCCACTGCTTCATGAGAAGCGGCAATGGCCGCAACGTAAACCTTAAGGGTGGAGGGCGACAGCCTGCGCTCCAACCCTTCTTGCAGGAAGGAAAGCACGACACTGATCGAACATCTCCGGGGGTCTTCTCCGCGAGAAGAACACCAATTGACGAAGAGGTTCCACTTCAACGCATAAAGGTGTCTCGTGGACGACGCTCTTGCGGAAGTGATGGTTGCTGCCACCGCAGGTGGCAGCGAACTCAAACCTGCCTCGTCCCATCCAGGAGCCACACGTGCAGCCTCCAAAGATCGGGACGAGGGTGCCACAGAGTGCCCCGTCTCTGAGAGAGTAGGTCCTGTCTCAGAGGAATAGGCCAAGGAGGTGCTGTCGCGAGGAGCATGAGTTCGGAGAACCACGTCTTGGTGGGCCAGTAGGGGGCTACCAGCAAGACCTGCTCCTCGTCCTCCTTGATCTTGCACAACACCCGTGCAAGGAGGCTCACTGGGGGAAACGCATACTAGCGTGGGCCCCGTGGCCAGCTGTGCGCCAGCGCATCCGAGCCGAGAGTGCCCCGGGTCAGAGAATAAAACTGGGCGCAGTGGGCTGAGTCCCGAGAGGCGAACAGATCTATCTGTGCCTACCCGAACTGTTTCCAGATCAGCTGGACCGACTGGGGATGGAGTCGCCATTCGCCGGAGATGGGACGGACCCGCGACAGCTCGTCGGCTGCCTGGTTCCGGTCTCCAGGAATGTAAACTGCACGAAGGGACCTCAGGTGCTTCTGACTCCATATCAAGAGGTGGCGGGCGAGCTGCGACAACCGGCTCGAGCGTAGACCCCCCTGGTGGTTGATGTACGCTACAGCCGTAGTGTTGTCTGAGCGGACAAGCACATGCTGACCCTTGAGCAACGCTCTGAAGCGGTGCAGGGCGAGCCGTACTGCCAGCAGCTCGAGGCAATTGATGTGCATGAGGCGCTGGGCTCCTGTCCAGGAACCGGCGGCTGCATGCCCATTGCACATGGCACCCCAACCCGTGGTAGACGCATCCGTGGAGACGACGAGATGCCTGGAAACTCGCTGAATAGGTCCGTAAGAAGACCCCTGTCCGTAAGAAGCTGAGGTTCGACCACGGGAAGAAGGTTCGGCGGCACGCCGGAGTCACTGGAACTCGGAGCGAACCGCGATGCCATGCCCACCTCGGGACTCGATCGCGAAGCCACAGCTGAAGCGGTCTCATATGAAGCAAACCGAGCGGCGTTGCCGCGGCCGCGGATGCCATATGCCCCAGGAGCCTCTGAAATAGTTTTAGTGGAACCACACTCTTGCCCTCGAACTGTCGAAGACAAGTCAGCAGTGAGTGCGCGTGCTCGTTCGTAAGCTGCGCGGACATGGCGACCGAGTCTATCTCCATGCCGAGAAAAGAGATCCTCTGCACGGGGCAAAGTTTGCTCTTTTCCCGGTTGACCCGAAGGCCCAGACGGGCTAGGTGCCGGAGCACCAGGTCTCTGTGTTCGCAAACCTGAGCTCGAGAGTGTGCTAGTATCAGCCAGTCGTCGAGATAATTCAGGATGCGAACCCCGTGTTCGCGAAGGGGAACAAGGGCTGCCTCGACGATCTTCGTGAAGACGCGAGGGGACAGAGCTAACCCGAATGGGAGAACGGCGTACTGAAATGCCTGGCCCTCGAAGGCAAACCGAAGAAACGGTCTGTGTCGAGGTAAAATGAAGACGTGGAAGTACGTCACTTCAGGTCGATCGCTGCAAACCAATCCTGAAACCGAACACATTCGAAAATGCGTTTGGCAGTGAGCATCTTGAACGGTAGTCGATGGAGAGAACGGTTCAAAATGCGCAGGTCCAGGATCGGTCGTAACCCACCGGTCTTTTTGGGGACAATGAAGTAGGGGCTGTAAAAATCAGATGCACAACTGTTTTAAATGTAAAGCACAGCTGTTTAGTAAGGAAGCAAAATATAATAGATAGGACAGAACAAGAAAGGCTATTAATAAGCTTTCATTGCGCAAAAGTATTATGACATGATCATGAAAGAGCTGCACAAAGTGCTTATGCGCATCGCGAGCGCTGAATGATGCGCTTGAAGCAACACGGAGTCACAGGGCGGCGCGCAGCTCTTCAGTGTCCGCCGCATTAAAGTTAAAAGCACCTAGACTGTGAATTATACATTATCTATGCAATAGTTTATTAAGCCTTTTCTCTTAACAGTTTTAAATTTCAGTTAGGCTACTGTGCACGTGAAGAACAATTATACTGCGCCGACTATAGTGTTGTGATCTAACAGACAATCAGTAGAAAGTGATTAAGTTACAGCAATAACAGTCTAGCCAGATAGAAAAACCATCATAGACCTTTATCTACGGATCAATTATAGTAATAACATTGAATCATCTTGGAAAGAGATCATCATGTTAACCGTTGTAACGCAACGCGAATAGAGAATGACTGACAGCCGCAGTGGAGGGAAAAGCTTAGGTTAACTTGAATTTAATGACTTAAATATAAATTTTTATCTCACATTATACTATAGTATGGCTTCATAAAGTATACACGATTAACGTAGGTCACCTATTTTGGTTTCAAAACGGCGAATTTACCGAAAGGTGAATGATTTTCGTGTATGCTGCATATTGAAAGCGGTTTCCTGATGCCCGCAAATTAGTTCAAACTCACGGAATCAAGAGCGCGCATGCGAGACAGAAGATAATGTAAGAAGCGCATGTTCCATGTAAACAATCCCCGTGACGTAATCAGACCAACTAATCGATAATGACATTCGTTGACAACGATTTTCATAATCGATTATAATCGATTTTATCGATTAGTTGTTGCAGCCCTACATCCTGGTCATATCGCGCGGAAAAGTAGAAGATTTGCATAACCGCCCTCACTTACACGTCTGCTCACTGCCAGAGAGATCGTCGATTTCAATTTTAAAAAATACTCCTCTTTCAAATCTTGGTAAGTAACCAGCTAGCATTCTATTGTTGTTATTATGTTAATACACCATCTTATACATAGACTACTTAATCTGATTGGGTGTAATTTTCAGAATTATGTCGAATAATTCCACAGCCTTGCCCTTTACCTGAGCGAGTTAGCTTGCTAATTTAACCGGAGATTAACTTAACTGTAATGTTGACATTCTGGTATGATGGAAGAAGTGTCTTCCTGTCAGCCATCGTATGATTTTAAAAGTGTGCGTGTGTGTGTGTGTGTGGAAAAATGTCGATTTTACTGGTTTTCTGAGGCCAAACAGACCGGCGACGATATTTACTGTCGATTCGAATTTGTTGGTTTAAAAGTGGACATTTCAAGCTTTAGCCCGTTACAAGGCTAACGTTAGAGTTGACAAATTAACATTGATTGTAAAATGATATCCTAAGCATGTGAAATGTTTTAATTTTTTTTTCCAGCGTAACTTACCAGCCCCAGATCTGTCACAGATTTGAATAAGAGGTAACGTTAAGTTAAGTTGCAATGGTAGTATCCATATAACGTTACTATCCTATGACATTTTAAATATTCCTTTCCCAATGGAAGAGAAAAGTAAGTGTGTTCTTCTAAACAAAAAATAGCTGCTGCATTGAAAAATTTTTTTTTAATGCAAATTTTTTGTTTGTACAGAATATGATGTCATATTGCTCTCTTTGGTCTGACATTCAGAGTTCCAAAAACGACTCCGCTTCAACAGCTTAACAGACAGCTAACCAGCGAGGAAAAACTAAAACTCATGGTAGGTTACTATGAAAAAGTAAAACAAACATTTGCTAACAGATGTAATTATTACACATACAATATCTTATTGACATATTCTTGTACCTCATTTACGTTTCTGCATATTTGCTAAATTATTCCTTCAGACAGCTCCGATGTCAAATTGGTGCAGCCAGTGGTGGAATGTAACGAAGTACAAATACTTCGTTACTTTACTTAAGTACATTTTTCACGTATCTTTACTTTACTTAAGTAGAATAAATAGTGCCTACTTTTTACTTTTACTTCGTTACATTTTGCAGCAATTATTATACTTTCTACTCCACTACATTTCTACAACTTCTGTTACATTTTCGTTACATTTTCTGATCAGTTTTTCCCCTGCCAAAACGTAATCTGACCGTCCGTTCGTTGCACGTTTTGTCTCACCAGTGACGCTTGGTTGCTGTAGATACAGTATATCAACCCGGTCACACTAAATGCGTCTCGCACGCAGTGTGTTTATCGTGCAACTCATACGAGAAAATTTGTTTTTACGTGCATAGGAAACACACCGTGTGTAATATATGTTTGGTTTGGTTAGGATTATGGCAAGCCAAAAGGTTCAGAATTACACCATAAATGAATCGCGTTTACTGCCAAACATAGTTATTAACATATAGTAAGGATAAGCATGATGTGTATATTGCCTAATTGCAAGCTTGTTTCAGAAATGGTGACATTTTTTTCGTTTCATTATTGAATCATTATTGAACATCATTATAGGAGTATTAGGTTGAATGAGTTAGAATTAAATGTTTTATTAATCATTAGAAAATAGACATTAAGAGAATAAATTGTTATGCAAGTACTTTTACTTTTAATACTTAAAGTACATTTAAAATAAAGTACTTTTTACTTTTTACTTAAGTATGGTTGTCATTGTGTTACTTCTACTTTTACTAAAGTAAATATTTATCTGGGTATTTGTACTTTTACTTAAGTACTGAGATTCAGTACTTCCTCCACCACTGGGTGCAGCTACCCTGAGGGAAAATGTCAACATTGTGATGAAAAGGTCAGTCTCTGAAGTTTTGCGGTTAATATCTTAAAATGTATTTAATACTCTTAAATGAATACGCCCTGATCTGCGGATTGAAGATGAAGAACACGCTGAATCTGATTATAACAAGACCGAAGCGAACATGAATTTGTGTGGTTTACACTTAATCACAAATATTTAGGGGGACGAGGCAGAAGTTTAGGGGAATTTGATTATACTATTTCAGATAGCCCGTTGGGCAGGACAGTTATGTATTTTGGTAGCCCTACTGAAAACACAATAGCCCGGGACGTCTGGCTAGCGATTTTGTGAGCCCTGACATTATTTCACATTTCTTCCTGTACAGCATGTATAAATTTGTTTATTCACATTTTTATTTACAGAGTGCTCACAAATAGCCTCATGTCTATACTGAACATGGATGGGACTGGTGACAAGCTGCCTTTCAGAAGAATTGAACTTTATAAGGTCGCAATAGGTAATTATATTTTCTATTTGTGCACCTACACCACCTATAGCTCTATTCTCTACATGATTTTTATTTTGATCAGTATGTGCAAGATAAATGGCAATTGCTGTTACATTTTTTCAGGTGCCATCTAGAAGTAACAACCCGGCATCACAGAAGCTTCCATTGGTAGCCTTACGGCCAACCATTTGCTCGCTACACCAGATGAAGAGGGGGCACTGGGTGCCGGAAGGTAGGAGCTGCTGCAAACAATGTAGATTAGGCCCAATTCCATTTCTCTGTTTTTAACCTTCTCCTTCATTTTACCCCTACACCGTGTCCTTCGAAACAGGATGGAAAGATATAGGGGGAAAAATATTCTCCATTGAAAAAAAAAAGACACCAATCGCATACATAGGGAAGAGCCTGGACGAATGTGATGTTTTAAAATCACTGCTCTCTGGCTTTGAATGAATGTTCACATTCTACAATTCCGTACAAAACGTGGACTGATGACTAGCAGTGAAATGAGATCCTGACATATGACACTGTTAACACAAATTTACCAAAAATTGACTCGATCCATTATCATATATTAGTACTAGGGCTGTCAAATGATTATTCACAATTAATCACATCCAAAATAAAAGTTTGTTTACATAATACATGTGGGTGCACTGTGTATAATTATTTTGTATATATAAATACACACACATGCATGTATATTTAATAAAAAAATATTATTTATAAATAATTTAAATTATATATATAAATCTATATACAGCATAAACATGAAAATATTTCTTAAATATATACAAGCATGTGTGTGTGTGTGTGTGTGTATATATATATATATATATATATATATATATAATTATACACAGTGCAATCACATATTATGTAAACAAAAAACAAAAGCTTTTATTTTAGATGCGATTAATCATTTGAAAGCCCTAATTAGTGCACATCTGACAACTGCATGTGATTAGGCTATAATGTTTTATCTTTCTTCTTTTTGATGAAAGAAGATGCTAAAGATAGATAGATGTTTTATCTATCTGTCTTTGGCATTAGTTTTTTCTACTTATTACAATGAGAAATGTATAGGTCTCTGGAGTCGAAAAATGTGACATCTCTCCAAAATGCTACAGTAAAATTGTTTGATATGAGGTGTGTATTGGAAGAATACAAATTTGTCTCCAATGGTATGAAACCTGAAAGTTTAGTAGATGATTATTGAGTCTCCAGCGAGAGTCTCATTTCCCGATAGTCCTGTTTTTGATTGGATTAGCTATAAGGGAGACTTTCACCTTTTTGTCTTTAGTGGCTCTGGGATGGCTCTCTGGAACCAGAGTTCCTGGCCACTATCAGCATTTGAATAGTTATGCTGATTCAATCGGATTGGTAATGGCCTCAGAGTAGGGTGTGTTCCTAATTCATTTGCATGCTTTGTTTCAGTTTCTCCCCCCTCCATGTAAACTCCTCCCCTCTAAATGTATAAATTGTAAGGGAATATTCTCCCTTAGTCAGACTTACTTTGAGATGACTACAGTGACGCAATAAAGAACTTCTGCGTGAAAGATACCTCAAGAGTCTCCTGGTCTGTTGCGTGGAAGAATAAAAACTTCACTACAGTATACTGTATGGGACGTCCCGTATAAGAACTGACCGTTAGGTTTTTCTACTTATTAGAAATGAGGAATGTATCGGCCTCTGAAGTCGAATAATGGGACATTTCTCCAAAATGCTACAGTAAAATGGTTTGATATGAGGTGTGTATACTGTATGGGACATCCTGTCTTCACTCCTGTCGCCTTGCTTTTGGCTTGCTTTTGGCTTGCTCAGTTGGGGTTATTTAGTGTTTAGCAATATTATTGATCTGTGTTGTACTACTTTCATGTTATCACTGTGAAGCTCCTTTGATACAATCTGTATTGTGAAAAGCGCTATATAAATAAATGTGACTTGACTTGACTTGACATCCCCTACAAGAACTGACAGTTATTTTTTTCTACTTGTTAGAAATGAGGAATGTATAGGCCTCTGAAGTCGAATAATGGGACATTTCTCCAAAATGCTACAGTAAAATTGTTTGATATGAGGTGTGTGTATTGTATGGGACGTACCCTATAATAATTGGCCACTAGTTCCCTTTCGTAGTCACTCTGAGTTACGTCGGAATGACGGAGAATGGGGTTTCGCATAGAAAGCCAATCCTCTTCGAGTATTTAACAACGAGCCAATGGCATGAAATGCCTTGGGGCTGCGGAAATTTGCATAGTGTTACTCCGCCCCACCCCGTGGGTATAAAAGGAGGAAGTGAACGCAACCGCAGTATGTTTTCGCTTCGGAGCCAAGAGACTTCTTCACTCCTAAAGCCAGTTTCAGTGCGTACAACTCTTCGAGACGAGTGTCCTCTTCAGTGTGGATGTGACGGAGGTACCCAGAGAGATTCTGCATTGCATGCGATCTGAGCAGTGGTCTACCAGACTTTGCGCTTCTCTCTGGACGCCTCAGCGCTGGAAGAGTGAATTTCCTCCTCTCTACTTAAAGAGCTGCACGTGGCACGTCTTTTTAAAAATGGTTCGCCCGTGTTCTTCTGGGTGCGGTCAATTCATGTCATCTTCTGATGATCACGATCGCTGCTTTGTGTGTCTGGGCATTCAGCACGCAGCAGCAGCGTTCGTGGATGACTCATGTTCCTTCTGTGGGAACATGACCATCTCTACACTGCGATCTAGACTTAATGATCTGACAAAAGTGAGAGTCCCCGCGTCCGCTACTCGTTCGGCTTCTTCTTCTAGAAGCTCTTCGATTCGCGGACAGGGTGATTTGTCGGTGACCGTGTGGAACAAATCCCCAACGCTAGCTCCTCGGGCCACACCCACCGTTCCAGTGTTAGAGCCAGCGAGCGCCGAATTGCTTCAGGCGTCTGCCTCTTCGCAGGTACCGTCTGTTTCGTTCGCCGCAAGGCCACAGCCGACCCCAATTCCTTTTTTCCCCGAGCTGCATGCGGAACTGACATGCACTTGGAAGGCTCCTTTGACCTCCCGAGAGCGCGCTTCAGTTTCCCCCGCCTTTCCTCCCCTCGACGGCGTGGTTGCCCGTGGGTACGCTGGGATTCCCCTGGTGGAACGCTCTGTTGCGATGCTACTGTGTCCACAGAGCGCGTTCTCCCGCGGCACTCCTAAGCACCCATCCAAAGCCTGTTAGGTTCTCGTCGTCTATGGCGGCGCAATCCTATAGAGCGGCGGGACAGGCAGCCTCCGCCCTGCATGCAATGAGCACTTTGCAAGTTTTTCAAGCCAAACTGCTCAGGGATATGCACGAGGGGGGACTGACCAAGTGGCTTTTAACGAGCTGCGAGCTGCCACCGACCTCGCTCTCCAGGCGACGAAAGTGGCCGCTCGCTCCCTTGGTCAGGTGATGGCAACTAGCGTGGTCCAGGAGCGTCATCTGTGACTCAACCTGGCATACACGCGGGATGTGGAGCGGACTCGTCTGCTCGATGCCCCCCTCTCCCAGGTTGGCCTCTTCGGCGGTGCAGTCGAGGACTTTGCCCAGCAGTTCTCGACTGCCCAGAAGCAGAACCCAGCCGTCGGCTCAGACGCCTCCGCCTGCTCGCCGCCGGGGACGCCCCCCTGCGGCTCCCCTCCCTCCCACGCGGCCCCAGCAGCAGCCTTTATCCGGGTCGCGGAGGAGGCCGCAGGAGAGCGTCACATCCCCCTCAGGCCGTGCGCCCCGCTAAACGCCAGGTGAAGCGGCGTTCCTGAGACGGGCTGCTCAGTGATGAAGTCGAGTGTTTCCCAGGAGGCGGTAGCAGGCCCCCTCCTTCCCCCGGTGGAGGGCCGGGGGAGAATCTTTTGTTCTCAGCTCCCCGCTGCTCACTCACGGGTGGGCAGCAACCTGAGTTGGTTAAAGAAAGACTTGACATCATCACTGAGCACACAGACAGGAATGAGTGCGCACAATGTCTCAGTGCGTCGCCCCACTCATTCCTCTCTGTCTCTGAGGGTGCGGAAGGGAGCATGTGTCGTCCCTCGACTACACCACTCCCCTCCCCCTCTATCGCCAGGCCCCCGGCATAACAGACCCCCGTGGAGCGGTGGTCCTTCCCTGGTCTCTTCTGTCGGGGAACGGGGCTCGACTGTGCACCCGCACGGGGTAAATCCTGTGCGCTTGCCGGTCTCCCCGCCTCGCTGCCCCTCCGGGGGGACGTCTGTGGTTCGCATGACCCCGGTGGCTCACTTCCTGGGAGCCTGGCTAGAGCTCCCCGGCCTGTCCTGCTGGGTCATCAGAACGATCAGATTCAGCTACGCGATTCAATTTCCACGGTCTCCTCCCCGTTTCAGGGGAGTTTGCTTCACAGTGATCGGTGGCAATGCCCCGGTCATGAGAGCGGAAATTGCGACCCTGCTGGCGAAGGGTGCAATCGAGACGGTCCCTCCAGCCGAGATGAGGTCAGGGCTTTACAGCCCCTACTTCATCGTCCCCAAGAAGACCGGTGGGTTACGACCGATCCTGGATCTGCGCATTTTGAACCGTACTCTTCATCGATTGCTGTTCAAAATGCTCACAGCCAAATGCATTTTCGAATGCGTCCGGCCTCAGGATTGGTTTGCAGCGATAGACCTGAAGGACGCCTACTTTCATGTCTCCATTTTGCCTCGACACAGACCATTTCTTCGGTTTGCTTTCGAGGGCCAGGCATATCAGTACGCGGTTCTCCCATTCGGGTTAGCTCTGTCCCCTCGCGTCTTCACGAAGATCGTCGAGGCAGCCCTTGTTCCCCTTCGCGAACACGGGGTTCGCAAGAAGGATTGGAGCGCAGGCTGTCACCCTCCACACTTAAGGTTTACGTCGCGGCCATTGCCGCGTCTCATGATGCAGTAGAAGGTAAGTCCGTCGGAAAGCACGACCTGGTCATCAGGTTCCTGAGGGGAGCGAGGAGGCTAAATCCTCGTGCCCTCTTGGGATCTCCCAGTAGTTCTAAGTGCTCTGCAGAGGCCTTCCTTTGAGCCTTTGCAATCGGTAGAGTTAAAGTTTCTGTCCATGAAGACAGCACTCCTGGTTGCATTGGCCTCCATCAAGAGGGTAGGGGACCTGCACACATTCTCCGTTGACGAAGCATGCCTGGAGTTCGGGCCGGCTTACTCTCACATGATCTTGAGACCCCGGCCTGGATATGTGCCCAAGGTTCCTACCACTCCCTTCCGGGACCAGGTGGTGAACC